ATATTATATTATATTATATATAATTTATATATTATATATATATTATATTATATTATATTATATTATTATATATATATTATTTTAAGAATGTACCAAGCAGAATTCAACTGGAAGTTATGTACTATATTGAATGTTATAATTTTAAAGGCATAAATTGAAGTTTAAATAAGAGTTGAATTGATAAAATTAAAAGATACAAAAGTGTCATACTCCAATTAGTAACTACAGGGGAAAATTTGTTTAATGAGAAAAGACAATATGAAATTTAAACAGGACAGACAAAAGTATAAATATAATGATTAGAAAGACATTGAAACTTAGAAAAAGATATATAATTGAACTTGGATATGAGAAAAATAACATTGAGAAAACCAAGGGAGGGGAAAAATTATGGAGAAAATGTTAATAAGATATGGAACAGAACACAAAGCTGAATATGAAATTGAGTTTGTGTCTGTATGGAGAAGTGATAACCCGGGATCATGCTATTCTCAAAAAAAGGTGTTTTATTTGTATTATGTTTTTGTGAAAACCCAAATAAAATTTATATTAAAAAAAAAGACTTGTGGACTTCAACTCCCAGAATTTCTCCTCCAGTCATGTTAACTCAGGAATTTTAGGAGTTAAAGTCCACAAGTCTTAAACTTGCCAAGTTTGAAGACCCTTGGTTTATATGGTCTCTCCTCCTGGTGGCTATTCAGAGGTGATATTCAGCAGGTTCTGACCAGTTCTGGAGAACTGGTAATGGAAATTTTGAGTAGTTCAAATACCACCTCTGACTGGAGCTTTTACAGTATCCCTCCCTGCCACGCCCACCAAGCCATGTCTACAGAACCGGTAGTAAAAAAAATTTCTGAATCCCACCACTGTGGCTATTGATGTTGTATGGACCACCACTGCTTGAATCCTGGCTATCTGGGAGTCATTTTCTTCTCTGTTGAATAGAACACAAGAGGACTTGCCAAGAAAATCAGCTTTTTTGATAATTCTAGCTAATATAGGCTTGAGTTTCAGGTCAACAAACCAAAATGCTGGGTGTTGATTTAGTTGTGTGCTTGTTATAACAAATCTCTGCTTGCCTGTCTGAAGGCAATTTTTTTTGCCAACAGAAGTATGGCAGGTGGTGAAACCAGTTGATCTGGCTCAAGGTTTTGGCTAGGGTTGTTTGGCAAGTCCTTCTAGGCTTCAGCTGAAGTATAAAGCAGAGGTCGGTGTGAACTGGGTTCATGAACTGGGTTCTCTCCTCTTTTTCTCTAAGTTCATATGTAGATCGGGTTCTTCAGATGAGAAGGAAGAGAATGAGAATAATCTCTCCTGATTATGGATAGAAGTATTGAAGGCCAACAAGAAATCCGAAGAACCAAATGGAAACCCACCCCCCACCCCACTTTTCCAAGATCTTACTTAAATCACCACCAGGGTGGTTAAGGATGTTTTAACCCCAAAATTGGCAAAATGCTTAGCAATAAGTAGATTGAAAGTCATTTAATCAATTGCATCCTATTTTACTTGGAGTTGAGATGACATGCTTCCCCAAGGCCTATAACAGGTACGGTATACAGTTAATTTAACATCTATAAAAATGCAGAGATTCAGTGTATCGTGCTAAATTTAGTTTTGAAATATTTTAATCAGTTTTATTATGCTAATGCAGGTAGACTCATAACCTAGGTCCTCAATAAGGTTGGTGAGATATTGGGCTTTGAATTTCACTTGAGGCAGTTGGATAACCTTATAAAGATAATGGAAACTTCTATAACTGAAATTGTTCTGCTGACGGAACAAATATTGGCACTGAACCTCAGAGCTAAATAATACCCCTTCCTAATCAAATTCCAACTTTGAGAAATCATCTGGTGCACTTTATAGATTCATCAAGAAAATGGAATTGAAGACTTCTGGGGTGTGTGATTATATTGTTACAAAGTTCTTGCATATCATCTGTTTCTTACTTGTTTTTCAAATTTAAATCATCCATGCATAGATCCACCAGCAGTCCCTCCCAATCCTTCCACTCCACCAGGCACCTGCCGTTGTGCAAGTCTTGGATTTCTTGCTTCAGTCATGTTGTTGTTCTGGGCAAAGGGAAATTCCCCATTGTCCCAAACCAACCAGATGAGGAAGTTGGGCCCTGACACGACCAAATCCGGTAGGTGATGATGCTGTGGAACATATGGGGGGGAATAACCTCTTTCTCAGTTGATGGATGGCTATTCATCCCTGAAACTGGAAACTTCGGGGGCGAAATGATTATCCAAGTTTCAAAACAATGAGCTGATTCTAAAACTGTGATGATCTCATTCTCAATATCACGTGATTCACCTGATCTCTCAGGGAACAACCATGCAGTCTGTTCTTGGGAAATCCCTAGATCAGCCAAACTTGGGCAGGAAAAGCACCCAAGTGGTAAGATTAAGGCTGCATCCCTGAATAAACATACAAAAGGCAAGGACTAGAGAGAGTAAAGCATTCACTTGCACGGAATCCATTCGTAAACATTTTGGGTAAAAATGGGATTTAACATCCAAGGAAAAATAGTGCATGTAATAAATTATGTTAATCCACTTATAAAATGAGCTTAAGGATTCCAGTTTGATGGCTAAATTTATTCATTATTGCAATATAAAGTTTTTTTATTAACTTATTAAAAACTGTTGTGATCTGAAGTTTATTATTAACCTATTAAAGTTTATTTTCTTTTGGAAAATCCCTTACAATGATTTATTAAAAATTTGGGACCTGAATGTTAAGAAATCAATGAAGATTTGGATTACTACCCTCTTATTAATTACATCATAAAAAGTTAGCAGAAACCTAATTGCTTGAGAGAAAGAAAAACAAAGAAGAGGCTATAGTATTGTTTTTATAAAATATATATTCTGTTTCGATCAGAAGGAAGAGAGTCATTTTCTCATTTTAGGTGGCAATTTTTTAAAACTTTACTCTAAATTGACTTGTTGAGTTTAGTCTCTCTGTGGCATATATTGACATTAAATTGATATGTAATTTGTCTATGCTACAAGTTTCTCGTTATGAGTCTTCTCCCCATAATGATTTGATAATATAAAGTTCTGATCTCTTCATCCATTTGGGCATATGTCCGTATTGTCTGAAAATATTTCTTATCTTTTTTGCTAAAAGATAAATACATACCTCTGGGAAGCAGAAACAGAGGTCTTTTGATTGAAGATTGATACCAAACAAAAAAGGAAAAACTTTAGAGCAGCCATTTGCAATGAAACCAAGAGAAATAGTGAAGGCTGGTAACTCACTTTGTTGATTTTCTAAAGTCTATATTGAAAGAATGGTTAAAATTTAATATTCTCTCTCTCTTTCTCTCTGCAGTTTCTTTCCCCCTTCTGGCAACACCCTTTTCCACTGTCTGAATTTGGGCAGTTCATGTCTTTATTAATAATGATCATTGCTAGTATATGCAGCTCTGATTGATTGCTAAGATTAACACAAATTATACTTTGATCCCTGTAGCATGAATTTTATGGTTATCTTTAATTGGGCAGGAAACAAAGCACATTCTTTTCTCACTGAATACTTTATTCATATCATATATGTGACATCTTCCCATTGACATTAAGCGAATCATAATGTCCTTATTTAATCAAACGATGTAGCTATGTTTTGAATTCAGTAGGTAGTTCTGGTCATGGTATCTCATATGCTGGAAAACATATTAACCAAAATGATTAAGGAGTTGTAGCAGAGAAATGTAAAATTATCCATCAGCCTGGAAAAGAATGAAGTTTTTCTTTCTTTCTCACAATGGTGTGATGATCAACAAATTAGTGGAAAGGTTGCGTAACTCAATTCACGGAGTCTCTCTCCCTCTCTCCTTCTCTCTCTCCCTCTCTCTCTCTGTCTGTCTGTCTCTCTTCAAATCCTGGCACGTGCCTGGATGTATCCTTCAATTTTTATGGAAAGCTTACGGGAAATGGTTTGCTGTAGCTTCCTAGCTGAGACAGAGAGACTGGCCCAAAATCACCCAGCTGGCCTTGTGTCTAAGGAAAAATTGGAATTCACCACCTCCTGGTCGCCTGGTGCCTTAACCACTACACTAACTGGTTCTCCTCTTTTATATACTGTATTTATAAAAGCTTATTTTATATATTTATTTAATATAAAAAAATTATATATTTATGAGCTGGATTTTAGATCAGAGCAGTCGTACATGAGCAAGCAAGTCATCCAGAGGTGGTATTCAGCAGGTTCTGACCAGTTCTGGAGAACCGGTAGCGGAAATTTTGAGTAGTTGGGAGAACCAGCAAATACCACCTCTGGCTGGAAATTTTACAGTATCCTTCCCCTGCCACACCCACCAAGCCACGCCCACCGAACCAGTAGTAAAAAAAATTGAATCCCACCACTGAAGTCATCCCATTACTAGTCTTCTTCTGATAAGCACCCTTGACATGTTCTCAACAGTCCAGATGTTCCCACTGCCCAAAAAGGACTTGGGACTACTCATATGCCAGTGTGTAATTTATTCTCCCATGGGAAATCATATTTATACAGGACTGTCCACATACTGTATGTAAGATATAAGCAACAGTCTCTTTTTTTGTTTCATTTTTTCTGACCCATTTGGTTCCTCAGCATTTTTCTACAGTTCTTCCTCCTGAAACATCTCAAACATTTTCCCTGCATCTCAGTATTACCAAATCTGCAATCCGATATACACTAAGGCACCATCAGACACAGTGCGAGATGTATTTCTATAATTGTGCCATAGAAGGTGTGGTTAACAATTGGAACAAAAGATCTCCACAAAAACAACAGAAAATCTTTAGGTTAGATGTTGAATTTCCTAGTTTTTTGTTTACTCAAGGTAAGTCAAGAGGAAAACAATAAAATCTCAGACTGGTGAACAAGAATAAGTGAAAATGTCATATATATAAATGCATGCTGTATATACCTGTTGAGAGATTGGAGGAAAAAGAAACGAGCATGTGGTCAAATGGTATTGGCCATTTATTGCATTATACTTGGTACTGTACCTATTACAATAATTATATATTTCTTAATTATTTTAATTTTAGTACAGTTGGAGTCATACTTGGTGTGAATATTTGTTAAACTTTGTTTCAGGGCATACAGCACCAGATCACTTGGAACCAGCGATGCTTCAGAGGACTGTGCAAACATAAATAGTTAATTCAGAGGAATGTGCAAACATGAAATAGTTCATGTTTGATTGTTTTCATAATTCTAAAGCCCTGAATTATTTATGCTTCCTGGGAGATATCCATCCGACCAGTGGTGGGATTCAAATTTTTTCACTACTGGTTCTGTGGGCGTGGCTTGGTGGGTAGTTCGGCGGGTTCTGACCAATTTGAGAGAACCGGTGGCGGACATTTTGAGTAGTTCGGAGAACCGGCAAATACCACTTCTGACTGGAGATTTTACAATATCCATGCCGTGGCAGGGGAATTTGAGTTCTCTCAAATTGGTCAGAACCTGCCGAATACCACCTCTGCCTCCAACATTACAAAGCAGGATAATTAGAAATCATCTCATCACTGGATACTCTTTTCCTAATAAGTTGAGCCAGCCATTGAAACAATAAACTTCAAGAAATAGGGAAGAGACTCAGAGGAAGCATTAAAAAAGAGGCGATAAACAGACAGACAGACATATGATGTAAGATACGTTATGGTACATTGATCTGATCACCATTTTCTTATCTTAGCTGTTTTTAACAATATGTTTTGCTTTCTTTGAATTTGATGACTTCTTTAAACTACCCAGAGATGATGGATGAACATATAAATACTTAAAACAAACTAACTGATTAACTACATGGAGATTAATGGGCCCAAACTGGCACCCAAGCATGGGAAATTTCCTCCTGTTACAGTCTTTATAGTTGCAAATTAAAGATGCTAACATTCGCCCAGGCAAGTGGACAATTGTTGCTTTTATTTTCTTTAATTGCTTTTTGCACTTTGTTATTCAACCAAACAATTTGTTAATCATTTGTTGCATTTTGTTATGGTTATTTGTGGATGTTATTATATTGTAATTGCACATGTGCATGGATATTCGCAGCTGTATACATTGTCCTAAAATGCCAACACTTACGTTTTATTTAGACAAATAAATACTGTACACAAATAATGTATAACGTCTCTGAGAATGCAGGATCTGAAGATCAAATCACCGTTGGCATTGCTTACCATTCTTTCTTGAAACTAATAACTGCAAAACTGCAAAGTCAACTCATGAAAAATCAGGTGGGATTTCAATAAAATCTATCCCTTTGCACACCTCAGAGATCTCATAAGCAAAGGTGGAATAGCATTCCTGTTAGGACAGTTATTATTTCTGTAACCTAAGTTTTACACTTTTACAAAAATAATATCCTGCAAATAATATTAGCATGGAAGTACTGCTAATGTCACAAAAATGGTATTCACTCTTCATAAAGCTGCCCTTAAAAGTCATTCAGAAGCTGTATCTGACTCAACCAAAATGCAGAGTCCTGCATGGACCAGGATAAACTAAATTACTAGAATAGCACCAATCCTGGAGAGTCTGCAATGGCTGCTAGTAGAGTTCCAGATCCAATTCAACTTCAAGGTATTGGTACGTATGGCTTGGATCCTTCTTGTCCTTTTGCTCCAAGTAGAATCAAACCTTCTAAGATGTTCTGACCAAAGGGATATGTTTCAGATCCCCTCATTTTGAGATTTCTTGGTCATAATTACTTTCTTCTAAGAATAGCCAAAAGCTATTCTAGATTATTTGGCCATTTTTATGTAGTCTTTCTAGAAAAGCTTTAAAAGAATTGTCTTGTAAGGATCCATCCTTACAAGAATACTACTCAACTGGAAGAAGTTATTGAGTGGGAATCGCTGAAAAGTAATTGGGCAGCATACAAATTTGTGTAATAAGCAAATAAGCAATAATTTTAACAGCTTTAAGTTTCAATACAGATGTAATAAAGTTTGTTTCTTTTCTTTATGCTTTTCACATGTTTCATAATATCAGAATAGCCCCACTCAGATTAGGTGCTGGTTCTACCTACTGAAATCCTAAAGCGCTCTAGATTCAGTTGAAGTAGCACATTCCGGAGTATGTCACCAAGCTCATGGATTGTCAGCAGTAACTTAATTACCTTGAAACAACTCATTTTAATTAATTACACAACTAAGGGGAAGAGCTATTAGGCACAATTACGCAAGCTCTCTGCTGATTAGATTTACCTCTGATTAGAGTTTTCAGAAACTTAACAGCAGCTGTGTAAGTTTGAAGACATCAATTTCTGTTACACCATTTACTGATATAAACCAAGAATCAGTCCCCTTGAGCTATGAGTTATTCTATGAAAAAAACAAAATAAAATATGCACTGCCTTCTTCAAACTAGAACTTACAAGATGCATTCCCAGACAGTATGGGTTGCAAATTATGGGCATCGCAGTCTCAACATCAGCCTGGTGAAGGCAGTAGCTATTATCTCTAATTAGTGAACAACAGGAATAAAAAGATTCACTTCCTGGGAGATTCTACTGAAGTGGTAATGATAATACTACATAGAATGCTCTGCAGAGCATTCTATGTAGTATTATCATAGTACATGACAGAACTAGTTGATCTTCTGATAATATAACAAAGAAGATCCCAGGAGTACTTCATGTCAATGAGAAAAACAATCCTGAAATCAAATCGGCTACTTGCAATGTTCGGATTACAGAATTGGCCCCCAAAACGTTACCCATTCTTGTCGTATATCTCATACGAACAAAGGACGCGAGTCAGTGACTTGGTTCAGCTCATTTATTAGGGTAAAAGCACAAGTGGGGAGAGTGGGGAAGAAGCGCGGCTTAAAAGGCTTTCTGCTGAGTGTTGCGGCCAATCGGGTCGTTTTGAATCGCCCGCGATCGGCTCAGCCAATCGCGGTCGATTCCGAACGACCAATCAGTGCCGCGCACTCAGCCAATCCGGTGGCCGTGTGCTTTAGCCAATCCGGGCTGCCGGATTTCGAGTATGCAGATGTCTGTACAGAACACCCCTCCCCTCTTGGTTTGGTCCTACGTGACGTAGTCCCGTAAGTAGGCGGGGCTCCATATTTTCCGACTTGACTTGCGCTGGTCAGTTGTCTCCTGGTTGTCGGCCGGTTCGGGTGGGACTCCTGTCGCTCTCCGCCTCGTTGATGGAACCGCCTGGAAGGGTGAGTCAGGCCTCTCGCCGCGGTTCCCTCCTGGTCTTCCCGGGTTGGTCGAGCTGCTGGCTTCGCTGCTCCCGCTCG